CTCCCTCTCTCCCCACCTCTCTCTCTCTCCCCACCCCCTCGCTTGCTCTCTACCCCGCTCCACTCTCTCTCTCATATTCAAAGTTGAAGCTGTGCCCTTCCTAACTTCAGTAGTCATGGCATTTAAAAGCTTATTTTTGGGGGTTTGTTCAGAGCTGCATTTATAAACAAGACAAAAAAAATCTCTGCCCTTAAATAGCTTACAGAGTAATGGGAAGGACAGATGAATAAAAAAGGCTTTAAAAAAAATGAGAAAAGAATTACAATTGAGTTTGAGCCAGGTTCTTTGGGGGCAGATAACGGAAGCACATAAGTGCTTCCCTCAGCCTGAAGGGAAGTGTGTGGGAGGGAGGGCAGCAGACAGAAAACCCTCTTCCACAGTCACAAGAAGAGAGAATCCAGATGTGTCGGCCAGCCTCATGGGTTTTCTGTCTCACAGCCTTGTTCCGAGGTTTGCCTTTCAGCCTGACATTTTAAATCACTGCTTCCTTTGGCCTACCAGCCAGGACCTCTCTTCTAGCTGAGCTGTCAGGTGCTGTGTTTTAGTCCACTCAGCCTTCTTCATCCACTCCACAGTCCCTCATGGAAATCCAGACAATTTGCTTGTAATTCTTAGCTGCTTCCTGAATTTTAGCTCTTAGAAACTAGAACTAGCTCAAACATGTCTTTTTCTCTTCTACAAGGCCTAATAAAGTGCCTTACGCAGAGTACCACTCAATACATATTTTTTGAATCAATAAATGCATCTTCGTAGCTCAGAGAAGATGCTTCAAAGGACTTAGCTATCAGCCAGTCATTGAGCTGTTCTAAAATTACTGGGCACCACAGGCCTCTGAAATGCAAGTATGAATTACCTTTCGAACCATTTGTACAAAGTCCTTGGAGTTCTGAGGTGACAGTCCCTGAAGTTGGCAGGTACATGCTTCAAGGGAAGATGCATGGGCCACAATCAGGATGTTATTTCCTGGGGGGAAAAAGCAAGGACTGGGAACACCATTTCTATAAAGACATATGTACACTTTGTGAATACTGGAAGCCCAGTGTCTAGGAGTGGCAAACATTCTCAAGAAGGAGAGAATTTGGCCAAGCGGTAATTTAAAAATGCTTTGTATTTTTAAGGCAGCTTAATGTCATTAAAAAAACCCAAAAACCCTTTAATCTTAAAATAATTATAGATTCACAGGAGGTTACAAATACATGTAAATGTAGCATTATAGCTGACCCTTCAATAACATGGGTTTGAATTGTGTGGATCTACTTATATGCAATTTATTTCAATAAATACTATAATGTGTTTTCTTTATGATTTTCTTAATAACACTTTCTTTTCTCTCATTTACTTTATTGTAAGAATACAGTATAAAATACATATAACATATAAAATATGTGTTAATCGACTGTTTATAATATCAGTAAGGCTTCCAGTCAACAGTATGCTATTAGTAGTTAAATTTTTGGGAAGTAAAAGTTATATGTGCATTTCTAACTGTGTGGGGGTTGATGCCCTTAACCCCTGCATTATTAAAGGGTCAACTGTACACATAGTATATATACAATAAAATCGTATATTATATATGCCATATATATTGTACAATATATACACATATATTTACATAATAGTGTACACATATATTTACATATTGTATATGTATATACAGTGACTACACACACACACACACACACACACACACACGCGCGCGCGCACACACACCCCAGGGGGGTCCCATGCACCCTTCATCCAGCCTCTTCCAATGGTAACAGCTTGCTTAACTGGTACATTATCCAAATCAGGAAATGGACACTGGTACAATCCATATAGCTTATTTAGATTTCACCAAGTTTACCCAATTCTATTGCATGTATAACTTTTTGTAAACACCACCACAGACAGGACACAAAACTGCTCTTTGTCTACAGTACACTCTGCTACTCCTAATATAGTTTTCAATGTTGTCACTGGAGACCTGTGGGCACTTGAGGCTATTGGCTGATAGAACATGCTGAATATCTTTAAAGCAGGAGCACAAAAGTACTAATGAAGTGAGTGGCTTTATGAGTGATAACTGAAAGGTGGGAATTATCCATAATGCTGTTGACCAGGGCTGTCCACTGTTAACATTTTGGTGTATTCAATTCCAGTCTTTGCTCAATGACAGGGGTCGGCAAAGTTTTGAGACGGAAGAGCCACCAGAGGTTGGCAAACTGCAGCTCGCCAGCCACATGCAGTTCTTTGGGTACGTACATGTGGCTCTGAAGTAAAACTGAAAATGAAAATAAAACTATCATAGTTTCATTTATAATATTACTTTAAATTTTCCTTTATTTGTAAAAATATATTTATGGCTCTCAAATAATTTTTAAATTGTTGTGAGGGACAGGATTGGCTCTTCCAGGGGTTGGGAAGCTTTTGAGACGGAATGTACCCAAAGAGCCGCATGTAGCTCGTGAAGCGCAGTTTGCCGACCCCTGCTCTATGAAGACAAATATTTTATCTTTAAAAAAGTGATGGGAATGTAATACTCTTTTGTAATTTGCTCTTTTTACTAAAAACTTTATAGTGAACAGTCATTTCTATATATCATTAAATATTTGCGTTCAATGTTTGTAAAATTCAATAGCAAACAGACTTGAGTCTTACAGAACACTTTTTGTTTGGTGGCAGCAGTGACGCTATGTGTGTTTGTGTAGGTGTATTTGTGTGTGGATATCCATGCTCCTGAATGAAATTATAGGCAAAACAATGTTATGCCAAAGAACTTCTGGAAATTATAATAGGGAACCTCCTTCACAGAACACAAGATAAATAGCTGGAATGCAGAAATCTAAGTTATTTCATAAAAGTAACTAAGTCTGGTGTATTCTCATGGGATATCTACCATTTTAGGTATTCAAGAGAATACTACAAATTTAACATGAAAGTATCTACAAGAAAGTCCAGAAATATTTTTTCTTTCCTACTTAGCAAAACTGCCAAAACAAGTTGAAACATCTTGAATAGCCTATTAACCTTGATGGAGAAATGGTCACATGTTTAAATACGGAGTCCAACATAATACCACCTACCTTTACTTTTACATTCACTTATTATTTCTTTTGTTACTTGGAAACTTCTGCTGATATAAGTGTCATAGGATTCTGAAACCACTAATTTGCTGACTGGAATGTGAGGTCTGTAACAGAAAAATGAACAAAGACAAAAAAAACCCATTTTGATCCCAAGACAAAACAATTGATATTACTCTAAACTTTTATTTCAAGGCCTTTCTAAAGCTCCCATAATTCTGTTTAGTCATTTCCCTAGAAAGAAAGGAGGTAGAGAGAAGAGTATTTCCACTCTACAGAAGTGGGGTTGAAATGTACAGACTGCACAGAAATAAAGGCTATGTATGGGTGCATGGTGTCAGAGTGACCAGCTGAAAAAGGCAACATTCAGTGCAGGTTTCGCATGCAGGATGATTTATAAGCGGTTTGATTCATTTTACTGACCATCAGTCTTAGGTCACAAGCCAGTTAGGAAGCGAAGCATAGGTTAGATCTCATCTATTTTCATCACCAGATATTTCCTAAGCCTCTCTTTCATAGCCTTGCAAACAATAAGCTGTAAAGATAGGTTTTAGTTTTAAATTTTGTTCTAGCTTTACTGGGATATAATTGATATAAGTTTAAGGTGTTAAGACATGTTGATTTGATACACGTATGTTTCAAAATAATAATCAACAAAGCCTTAGCTAATACCTCCAGCATGTAACATGATTACCATTTCTTTTTTGTGTGTTGAGAACACTTAAGATGTACTCTCTTAGCAACTTTCAAGTATATAATATAGTATTATTAACTGTAATCACCATGCTGTGCATTAGATCTCCAGAACTTATTTATCTTATAACCTGAAGTTTGTACCCTTTGACCAACACTCTCCATTTCCCCTGGTCCCTGGCAACCACCACTCTACCATCTGTTTCTCTGAGTTTGGCTTCTTTAGATTCCACATAGGTGATATCATGTGCAGATATCTTTTTGAGATTCTGTTTTCATTTCCTTTGGATAGATACCCAGAGGTGGGATTGCTGGCTCATATGGTAGTTTTATTTTTAACTTTTTGAGGAACTTCCATACTGTTTTCCATAGAGGCTGCACCAATTTACATTCCCACCAATAATGTAAAAGCATTCCTTTTTCTCCACATCCTTGCCAACACTTGATATTCCATCTTTTTAATGACAACCATTTTAACAGGTGCGAGGTGATATCACTTCGTGGTTTTGGTTTGCATTTCCTTGATTAGTGATGTTGAGCATCTTTTCATGTGCCTGTTGGCCATCTGTATGTTGTCTTCTTTGAAAAAATATCTATTCAGTTTCTCTACTTATTTTTTAATCAGACTGTTTTTATTTTAATATTGAGTAGGTGAGTTCTTCATATATTTTGGATGTTAACCCTTTATCAGATATATGATTTGCAAATACTTTCTCTTATTCTGTAGGTTGCCTTTTCATTTTGTTGGTTGTTTCTTTTGCTTTGCAGAAGTTTTTAGTTTGATGCTGTCCCACTTTTTAATTTTAGCTTTTGTTACTTGTGCTTTTGGTATCATGTCCAAAAAAACAATTGCCAAGACCAATTTCAAGTAGTTTCCCCCCTATGTTTCCATCCAGAATGTTTATGGTTTCAGTTCTTATGTTTAAGTCTTTAAACAATTTTGAGTTAATTTTTGTGAGTGATATAAGATAAAGGTCCAATTTTATTCTTCTGAATGTGGTTACCAAGTTTACCCAGCCATTTACTGAAGAAACTATTCTCCATTGAGTATTCTTGGCTCCCTTGTCAAATATTAATTGACTGTATATTCAAGGGTTTATTTCTGGGCTCTTGATTCTGTTCCATTTGATCTATGTGTCTATTTATACGCCAGTACTATACTGTTTTGATTACTATAGTTTTGTAGTCTAGTTTGAAATCAGAACGTATGATGCCTCCTTTTGTTGTTCCATACAAATTTTAGGATTGTTTTTTCTATTTCTGTGAAAAGTATCATTGGAATTTTGATAGAGGTTGCATTTAATCTATAGATGGCTTTGGGTGGTATGAACAGTTTAACAATATTAATTCTTCCAATTCATGAGCATGGAATATCTTTCCATTTGTTTGTATCTTCAATTTCTTCCATCAAAGTCTTGTAGTTTGCATCGTACAGATCTCTCATTCCCTTGGTTAAATTTATTCCTAAGTATTATATTGTTGTTGATGCTATTGTGAATGGGGTTATTTTATTTCTTTTTCAGATGTGTCATTGTTAGTTAGTGTATAGAAACACAATTGATTTCTGTATGTTGATTTTGTATTCTGCAGCTTTACTGAATTTGTTAATTATTTCTGACAGTTTTATGGTAGAGTCTTTAGGATTTTTCAACATATAAAATCCTATCGCTTGCAAACAAAGACAATTTTATGTCTTGCTTTTCAATTTGGATGCCTTTTGTTTCTTTTTCTTGCCAGATATCTCTAAGACTTTCAATACTATGTTAAATAGGAGTGGTTAAAGTGGGTATCCTTGTCTTTTTCCCGATCTTAGGGGAAAAAGCTTTCAACCTTTCACCATTCAGTATGATGTTAGTTGTGGGCTTGTCACATATGACCTTTATTATGGTGAGGTATGTTCCTTTACAGGCAAATTATTGAGGATTTTTATCATGAAAGGATGGTGTATTTTGTCAAATGTTTTTTCTGCATCTATTGAGATGATCATACAATTTTTATCTTCCATCCTATTAATGCAGCATACCACATTTATTGATTTTTGTATGTTGAATCATCCTTGCATCTCAGGGATAAACCCCACTTGATCACGGTGTAGGATCCTTTTAATATGCTGTTGAATTTGGTTTGCTAATATTTTGTTGAAAATTTTTATATCTATATTCATCAGGAATGTCAGTCTCTAGTTCTTTTCTTGTAGTGTCCTTATCTGGCTTTGCTATCAGGATACTGCTGGCTTTGTAAAATTAGTTGGGGAGTTGTAAGGATAGGTTTTAAAAGCAGATGTTTGGTCCCTTTACTACTTAGAGTTTCTGGTCTATGAGATATTTATCTTGTTTTTGAGTACAGCTATGTCACATTTTCTGTTTTCTTATGTTGTGTTTCATTTTTTATATTTACAGCATGGTAGGCGGAGGTGGTAGTGGGTTCTCAAAGTGAATTCACACAAAATCTTGATCAGAATACATTGCTGCTGCTACTACAATTATTACTACAAGGATTACCAAGAGGTGCCCCTGTGTCAAACTCTGTGCAAAGCACCTTCTTGCATTCTTTGGCTATAGCCCTCCTAGAAACCTTTTTGCAAATTCTGAGTTTATGGATGACAAAACTGAGGCTCAGAAAGGCTTCAGATGACTTGCCTATGCTTACACCATTACAACTCTTAGAGCCTGGATTTGAACCTGGGTCTGATCAATGCCTGTAAACTTGTTCTCCACTTTGGACTGCTTTGGACAGTGTCTTCCTCAAGGCTACCTCTCTATGCACTTGGGTTTACTGTCCAGAGAGGAAGGATGCTGTTCTATTTGAAGAAAACCTGCTCTCATCTAAATAACATTCTCTCAGCAAGCCTACTTCTTCTAGGAAACAGCCTTCTGAATCTCACAACACCCGGGGGCTAGGGAGAAATATAAATCTTCACTTGCTAAGGATGTACCTCCTTGTTCTGGAGTATACTCTTTTTCGCCATCCAAATCTCTTATGCAGTTCTATTACCACTTATGTCATCTGATCTCTCAGGAGGTTCCCCACTCTCCCATGACAAAAAGTCTCTTTGTATGGTCCAGACAGTCATTTCAAGGGTAAGATCACATTGTAATGTATGAGTATTATGTAAGTGAAGAGCAGGTAAATGCTGGCATCCAGTTCTTCCTAGCCAGTTCTTGTCTTAAGCAGTTCTTGCCTTAAAGTTGAACCTATGAATGGCTTCCATGTTTGAGCCACCATTCCTGATGGGAATGGGACAGAGTCAAAGCTTTCTCACCCTTTAGCAGCACGTGTCATGCTCTAGCCACACCTGCAGGACTTCATGTACTGTACTCAAAGTAAGGTGGGCCTCCAACCACCAACTAGACTTGGAACCCTGAGCTCTTGGGTCCAGGCTGTAGAGCAGGCTTCTGTCTTGAGCCCACACCAAAGTTTGATCCATTGCCCCTCTAACACTCCAGATCCATGCCTCCCTATCAATTCCCGCCACCCCCAGTCAAGACCCTGTTCTGAAAGTCTTATCAAACTGGTTTATATTTCATTTTTTTCTGCTTTGCTCCTTCCAGCCTAGCTACCTAAGAGCTGGAATGCTTTCTGCACCAAGCCTCCAGGGTGGGTCTTGCTGCCTGTGGATGGCACTTGGATATTAGTTACCAGCCTGGTTAGTTTCCCTTAACCTAGCTTTCAGTCCTGCTTGCCTCTTGCTCTAAGATGACGGGTCTCTTTAAGCAGGCCATATTATGTTTGACTTATGATACCCTGGCTATCAGTTCTTGCCTACACCATGTTTCTTCAGTCATTTGGCACCACTACTTGCTTCAAAAGGCCCACTCATTTTGCATAACTAATTTCAGACGGAATTTAACTCTAGGGGTGGTGCGTCTCACATTCTTTATTGCTGACTTTCACAGATGATTTACAAAATACTAGAGGACCCGATTGACTGAGTTAATTTTATTTTTGAGGAATGCAAATTCCTTTAAGCAAGAAGAAGTGCACATTGACATATGGGGTTATTTAAAGTCTTAGTTGCAGAGCAACAAGAAAATGAGTATGGGAAAAAGGAGTTTTCTTGTACCTTAGCCAGGAACTCACATAGCTTCACTTGTCATTTGGGTAGGTATTTGAAATGAAAGGTCAAGGGATGTCACAAGAAATACATTTGTTTATATTGTTCACTTGTTCCAAATTCTACCCTAAGAAATAGGAACTTAATTCCCCACTATAATGGTTGTGAATATCTGTCCCTCCTCAAAGACATTTTACCAATGTCTGAGTGGATTTTTGATAATGTAACTATATTATTATTGGTTAATTCTTAATTGTTTACATGTGGATTATTCACCTGTGAGCAATTTACAAACACTTCTTTTTAATTCCAACACAGGCAGTCTGACCCAATGGGAAAAAGCAAAGGACTAGGAATGAGGAAACTGTAAAGCATATTACACAGTGCTTAAAAATGCTCAATAATGGTTAGTTATTATTATGATGTGTCACCACTAAATGTACAACTTTAGGCAAAGACACTTGCACTTTCATATAAAAAAGTAGCTTGCCTACATTCTGGGGTTGTGGCAATAACAAATGAAGATAAAGGGAATTAAAAATGCTTTGAAAAATTAAAAATGACAACCCACGGTAAGACATTGTCATTTCAATATCTCCCAACAAGTTCTGGAGCGGGGTCATCATTTGCTGGTGCCTGCTCCTGGAACGCAAAGCGGTTTTATTATTCACTGAAAGAGATATAATAGTCAGGAAAATCCAATGTATGTGTGTGTGGAGGTATAATCTAAGCTATGCTAAATACAAGGGAATGCTGGCTTTTTTTCAGTTTTGGTTTTTCAAATCACAGTTTGACTTCTACCAATATGGACAACTGCCTGTGGGCTATGTCTGGTCCTTTGTCGCCTTAAGTAGCCTGGCCTGGGGTAGTAACATACTTCCACATTGGCCTCAGGAAACACCAATTTCAGAGGGTTACCTGTAGGTTGTATCAACACTCAGGTTGGCTGCAGCTAACTCTGATGGAGGTATCCATGCAGGTAATGTGTTCCCAGCAACCCATTTTGTCCACTCAAATAAGCCAGGCTCTACACGGATCTTCAAGTGATTTTCTTGTTGTAAACCTTAGAGGTAAAATAAAAAGGAAGATGAAGGAAATGCCACTATTTTCTCAGTGGAAAAGTAGATTACAGGCTAAATTGTTACAAAAATTCTGGTAAATCTTCTATTCTTTTTCCTATCAGATGCTATATATAGTGAAAAGAAGGTGGAAGCATGTGGGTTTGGACCCAGGTTTTTAATTTTTGTGTGTTACAAATATGTGAATTTAATACTCTGGCCACACCACAGGATTTATGCTGGCTTAAAGTGGTAACTGGTTTAAGGGAAAAAACTATAAGTCATTACCCATATAATTTATACAGTTCTGTGACTACTATAATTTCTTTTTCTAAAGTAAGTTCCAAGATTGCCTTATGAAGAATTTCAGTAATGCTCTTAAGCATTCACTGCTTTACAATAGTTTATACTGTATTTGAATATCATGTAAATTATTCATTTTTTTCCAACAGAATATCCAATGTTTAATATTTACAAGTGCCAGTGCACAAGTCTGGTGTTTCATCATAGTGTAATTATACCCAGAGTAGGAATTTTCTGTTTAACTCTCATTATATTGCCTTAAGCCCAGTTTTTCTGTGCAAATTTAACACATTTTAATGCATTGATGCATTCTGGCATACTTAAGATTAATGAATAGAAGTCTCAAATATAGTGTAAATTCTTTGTTGGCTCAGCTATTTCTAGCTCATTCATTTGTTTGGTATAAGTAAACAGTCCAAAGCGGTTTCTTCTGGTTTTCTTTCCATTGAAATCAGAATTGTGATCCCTCTAACTCAAGTTTCCACAGATTTCATGGTGAAAGTTGAGTATCTTTATAGCAATGATGCTTTTAAAGTCATTCCAATTAACTAAAGAAACAGGGATGATTAAGATTTGCCGACACCTAGGAGTACCACTGCTGCTGTAAACAAGAGACAAACAGAGCAGAGTGGGAGGAAGTGACATCATTATTTCAGTGCAGAAAAAGGATATTCTCTGCAGGTTCTAAATTATTGGTAGACAACTATATTTTACATGCTTACAGTTCATTCAAGAAAAAGAAATTATTTGTATACTTCCTTTCATGACATTTATGCTGCCAGAGTATTGTCTTGGGACTTTTGTAGAGACATCTTATAAAGAATCATTGCTAAAAATTCAAAATTTGAAGCTTTCAATTGGCTAATGTCCCATGAGTCTAGGACAATTTAGGTGTGGGGCTGCTGGGAGACAGAGGGATGGACTAGCTGACCTTTATCAAACTGTACCTTTCAAGATGTTGAATGCAGTCTGAACACAGCGCAGGGATGGGGAACAATAGACGTGGTCAATAATGGTGTTACTCTCTAATAAAGCTTCACCTGCAAAAAAAAAACCAAAGGAGATTCAATCTGATGGACTTACTCAGCATCAGCTTGACCCTCAGTGTGGGACAGGATGCCAAGCAGACCCTGCAAACCTCTCTATCAGTAGGGGCTCACATAAAGCCAGAGTTTCCTCCTTGTTTCCAACAAATCCCTTGATGAGAGTTTCTATGAAAGAGGCCAAATAAAAGACCCCTTCTTGTCTTTTTTTTCCCTTCTTTCTGGTGCTAACAAGTGGCAAAATGTCCATCTAGGAGAGACCTAGAAAGACGATAATGCAGATTTCAAGTATGTGATAAAAGCTAAAGGGTTTATATTGTGAAAGTTAGGTTTTGTTTTAACATTATACTGTGCTAAACAAAATTTCATCTTGTCATGTTCTTGGATACTAGAGGTAAATCTCAACATCTGACACTTCAACCCTTTCCTCATGGAATCCACTTCCTTTTCTCTACTGGATAAAGTCCAAACACCTTAATATGGTTGTCAAGGTCTTCCATGAACTTGTCTTCATTCATCTCACCAGCCTCATCTTCTGCCCTGCTCACAATCTATGCTCTAGAAACAAGATGGCGTGTTTCCTCTGTACTCTTGATGCTGTTTCTCATGTGTATGGTTTATGCTGTTCTTCCCACGAAGAATGCCCTTCCCTCCCTCCAGCTCCCTCTTTGCCCAGCTGACTTCCACTTCAGGTCTCAGTTTATCCCTCTTCTCCTCTACTGTGTCTTTTCTGGTGCTCCCATAATTCTCTGTACATACTTTTATTTTTTAATAACATACTGTAAGATATTTATATATGTATACCTTTGTTTTCCTGAAGGTGGGGACTCAGGCTTGGATCCCTAACACCTAGCACAGTACCTTGCACAAAGTAAGTGATCAATCAATACGTGTTAGGTGATTGAACAGGAGGAGGCTGCTATCTCTCTGTGGCAGGTTCTTTGCAAAGAACTGAGCATCTTCAAAGGATCAATTAGCCTTTATACATTCAGCCACTCCAGGGTTCCCTCCTCCTTATGCTTGTTTGTGCTGACCTCTCCACCGCACCAAGCCTGACTTTGCCCTATAACTGGACCATAAGCCCCTCAATAGGAATCACATCTTGTTCGCTTTGGTAAACCAACCCCATGCCAAGCACAGTGTCCTGAACTTAATGGCTACGTAAGAAATCCCTTGAGGAAATTTACTACTTCTAGGAAAGTTATAGAATACCCACTGGAAACAGTATTCTGAAGACATGGCCAGAAATGGCTGAGCTATCACTCCAGGACTCTTACCCACTAATCTTGCTTGCATACATCCAAACACTGTGATTGGAGCATCCTTCTCGTAATCCCGGAAACCACCACTCCGCTGAGGTAAGCTATGAGGCATATTCAGGTTGGTGCGTACGTAGCGGCCTAGAAAAAAAGGCAGACAAAGGCTACGTGAGTTTCTGGTTTCCTTAGGACTTCCATGGCTGACCCTGAGAGTCTCTCCATTTTCCATTCCTTTTTTGGCCCAAGAGCTCGCTAGAAAATATCATTACTGACACTGTTCCTTTGGTAGAGCGTCTTAGAATCTCCTTCTCCATGCTCTTAACAAAAGTTGACAAGAAATAGTTTTTAAGTGAAAGTTGCAACTAGACACTCTAAAGCAGGGGGCTTCTCTGATATTCAAGCATTCCTATCTTAAACATTCCACTCAAATGAAAATGGAACCAAAATGAGCCAGGGTGATTTAATGGTGGAAACTCTGGCTGTTGAATCAGGATATCAGTCTCTGCCTCTGACTTTGTCATATGACCATAGGCAAAATATTTGCCTTCTTTGGTCCCTGGTGTCCCAGTTTATAGAATGGAGACAAGAACATTTACCTCTTCCCTAACACTCAGGACAATCAGGAAGGACTTACAAATGTAACGTATCACAGGCTTTTCAAAGCCCATCTAACCATAAATAACTCCATCTAGATAAATGTAGCTTGATAGTGTCCTCTAGAGGCCATAATTGGTATGGCAATGCTGAGCAGGCCTACCAGCTACTCACCTTTGGCATCAAAGCACTGGGATAGCCAGTACTTCCCAAATACAACATCCATCCTCTCACCATGCCGACACACAAAGAGGCATCTCTTTTGAGGGCCAGGCTGGCTGTTGACTCTCAGAGGCTAAAGAGAAAAAGAGGCTTTTAGTGGGGAAAACATGAGAAAGTAGACATCTCCTAGAGCTAGGTGCCAGGTGAGCTGAGCTCCAGGTCAGGTTCCCAGTGTATGACTTGGATAAGCCCCTTCACTACCTTGTTGTTAGGTTGGCCTGTCTGTAAAATGGGGGGCAGTGAAATGCAGCCTACAGATCTCACAAGTTACTTTGAGGCTGAAAAGAGATGAACTGAGGTGCTTTGCAAAATAACAAGGGTTATAAAGATGGTATTATCATTGCTGCTGCTGCTGTTAGCAGAAGTAATGTTTAGCCAATACTAAAACATGAAGGCCACTTGAGTTACAGCTCAGCGGTAAAACTCGCCAGTATGTAGAGATAGACATGTAGTGGAACAGCTTCCTCCCGTAAAGAGATGCTTGATCCACTTCTTCAGGGAGCGAGAACTTTTATTATCACGCATATGTCTACCTCATCTCTAACATGTGGTGGTTAGACCATATAGTCCAATGGTCTCCTCCAGCAGTGAGGTCTGGTTTGTCTCTAACCACAGTGTAGGCTCTATTGTCCAACTACATGCACGTTGGTGTTCCCAGAAATGGTTCAGGGAGGCCTATTGCTACTTCTGGGTGATGAAATAGTTAAGTCTAGTCAAAGGCATGTCCAAATGACTTTGGTTTCTATAACTGCTGGCTGAATCATTATAGATGTTTCTGTATTCCTTCTTTCTGACAGAGTCAGCTATTCCTAGTTTCTTTAGTGCTGCCAGCTTCATGTTGGCCAGCACTTACATTTGTTTCCAGTTGCCCTGACCAAATTAGTATGTGGGACGGTGGCAGCACACTCTTCCCTATCTCTTCTCCCACTGTTCTCTAATTCAAGCCCTGGGCTCTAGCCAATGTGATCTAGTCTTCTGATCCTCCACATGTTTGAACTTTCATTTTGCCTTTGTCTATATTGTTCAAATGACTCCCCCAGTCTCCGTTCTGCAACCCTTCTGGCATATATCGAGCACATACACAGAACACACACTATGAGCCAGGTGCTCTGCTAAGAGCCTTATTATTACCTTTAATATTTTCATTAAAGTACAGCTGACATACAATTAGTTGCAGGTATACAACAGAGTGATTACGGTGTGATCACCATGATATATCTAGTAACCATCCACCACCATATAAAGTTATTAAGATAGTATTGACTACATTCTCTGTGCTGTATATTTCATTCCCATGACTTATTTATTTTATAACTGGAAGTTTATACTTCTTATTCCTCTTCACCTTTTCACCCATCCCCCTACACTATTTCCTTTAACCTTTGCAACAGCCTACGAAATAGATAACAGCTACTGCTACTTTACAGATAACGTGTTCCCCTCTCCGTGGAACCGCCCTCCTTACCAGCCTAGACCCAAATGCTGGTAGTCATTGTCACAACCACCCATCTGACTTTTCCTAGCCTTGAAGTTTTGTATAACCTAGCGGCCTCATACTTAGTAAATACGTGTTCAGTGAATCTTGAGGTGAGTTGAGGAGGTAACTGGCAATCAGCCTACCTGCGTGGGCTGGCAGATGATAGTCAGGGGAGTCATCTCCCCTAGTCCCTGGTCTTCGTACGGCCGCCTCTCCAATATACCATCACCAAATGATGAAGCGTTGGAAGATGATGTATTTAAGATGGAGTAAGAACTACAGAGGAAGATAAGGAAGATGTTAACTGTTTTGCCCAGGAGTCATCAGCTCTTCATCCTTGGACTAACAGGAATATGGGAATTGGCAGGAAACACTCCCTGGGCAGTGCAATGGTCGGGAAAGCTGAGAAGGGGGTGCCCCATTCTTGGGGAGGAACGTCTGGTTTTATACTGAAGTCTTGCCGTTAATAAATTAGGGGGGAGATGGATTTCTGTACTTGCAACAGATGAATTCATCCTTCTGAGGAAGGATGGGGCCTGTAATTTTGTGCTTATTAAAATGCCACAGGCATAGTTGGCACCAAAGGCATGTTAAAGAATAGTGAATTATCAATTTTGTACCATAGTTTCCAGCTATTTTTCTGGCTCAAAAGAAATAAATAATTCCTGCTGCCTTTAATCTTTTCCATGGTGATTTCCATCTGAACTGACAAATTGGAGGGAACATTTTTACGGTCTCCACCACTCTGCCTGTGGCTCCTAATAATCAAGGAAACCTGATAGCCATTATCCCCTATTCTAACTTCTTCAGTCTCCAAAACCTTCTCTCCATCTCACCTCCAACAAGATGATTAAACACAGAATGATTTCAGAGGAGACCATTCTCACCAGATGTGTAGAGTTGTGAGCCAAGAACTCTCATTTCTGGGTATAACACTAAAACTACAGAAGCCCAAAAGCGGTCTTGCTGAAAGGGACACAGCAAACCATGCCATGTTTCAATTATTTTGATTAGTTAAGAACTCCAAAAAGCTTTATCTAATAAACATTGCAATTTAAATATGGTCGTTAGGCAAATCCTGTGAACATCTCTTTCTGTATCACTGGGCAGTATGAAAGAAGAACATTTAAATTTTAGATTTCTTGCTTCTTTACAACAAGTAGGGTAGCCATATATCCAAGTTTGCCCAGCACAGTCCTGGTTTATATCTGTTGACCTAGCAATCTGTGCAATTTGACATCTGTTCTGGATTGTTTATTTTTAACACAGCACTACTCTTAGAATTTTAATTTTGAAAATAACTTTGTATTATCACCATTATAATAGAGCTACCTGGTTGTTAGTAAAAATTCTTTCAAAAAAATGGGATGGTTTTAATAATTTTAGCACCCCTTCACTTTCTGAGGTGTCCCTTTCTTTGACTGTAAATAGACTCATCCTACTTATACACAAAGGTCACAGGAGCCTCAAACCCTGAAAAAAAAACCACAATGTTTCAGCCCTTGTGCATATCAGAATCACCGGGGGCATATTTAAAAAATATCTGTGCCCAGGCCCCACTCCTCACAGATTATGATTCAGCAGGTCTGGGGCGTAACCTAGGAGGCCCCAGTGTAAAAAAGCTGCATCAGTAAGTTCGATGTGCAGCCAAGTGAGGCCTATTATGGTAAAATCTAAGTGACTATAAACCAAGGAAATCTTGTCCCCTTCACACAGTCTAACAGACCCGCTCTTCTCCTTTATTTTAAGCTGAGACCCTCCCAAACATCACAGTTAAATAAAATTCAGTTTCACTGTCTAATTCCTCAAAGCTTCAGGGCCTGAAATGTCTGGATGAAATCGTTCTGACATTGTGTTTATATCCGCCCCTTAAATTCTTCATTTATTATAGCTGTGAAGACATTGATAGAATCCCTTCTGTCTCTCTTTCAGCTCAGTTGGCAAGGAGAATGCCAACTCCCTTCTCTTCTTAACTGTCACTGTAATCAAAGGACCTGATTCACTCTTGAGACAGCTTAGGGCTGTCAGTTCCAGTAAGAAAACAGTCAGGTGCTTTATGTTGAGAGCAGCATAGGGAGGAAGCTGAACCCGACACCCAGAACATCTTCAGAAGTAGCAGGGAGCCAGTGGCACGTCTCTAGGACACATCAGGCCTGTGTATAAACCCAGAAGGACCAGCCAGTCCACCCCAATTCAGAGGAAACAATGGGGCTTCACCAATTGACAAATATCTAGGGATACTCAGAACCAGGCAAGGTGCTCTAATAAAGGGTGGAAGGGCAGCATTTCCTCAGGATGGACTCAGAGAACTGAGGACAAGGTAGGAAGGGTTGCGAAGGGTCATAGGCCCCAAGTCTCTTCTTGTTGCTTGAATCCCCTGCACAACTTCCCATCAGGTCAGCCAGGTCATGCTCGAGCACCCCTGAGGCTCTACTCCCTTGAGTCTGTCTTTGGTTAGAGGTGAGAGAAGATCTGCCTCCCTGACTCATTTCCACCTCTGGGGTTAAGTAAGATAGTGCAACTCGGGCCGGCCGAGTGGCTCAGTGGGTTAAGAAGAGCTTGCTCAAGAGTGCGAGCTCTGAGTAACAGGGTTGCCGGTTCGATTCCCACATGGGCCAGTGAGCTGCGTTTGAGCTGAGCTGCCACTGAGCTGCCAACAGGCAGCAGGATGGCTCAGCTAGTGAGAGCACGTGCTCCTAACAAGGTTGCCTGTTCGAGATGGTGGGCTATGCCTGCCTGCAACTAAAAACTGAACTCAGCACCTTGAGCTGAGCTGCCACCCGGATAGCTCAGTGGATAGAGTGTGCGCTCTTAACAACAAGGCTGCCGGTTTGACTCCCACATGGGATGGTGGCTACGCCCACCCGCAACTAATTGAATACAACACCTTGAGCTGAGTGGCGCGACGGGACTTGGAGCCGAGCTTGCTGCGCCTTCCACAACTAAGATTGAAGGGCAACAACTTGGCTGTTCCCCTTCCCCAATTCCCCAATAAAATCTTTAAAAAAAAAGTGCAATTCTTCTATAGGATAGCTTTTGTAGAAGAGACATTTGATTTGATGAGCATGTAAGAGGACTAGAAAACAAAAGTTAGAAGAACACCCAAAGCTCATAAAGCTGATGACTATTTTAGATTCAGTGCTGTTATATACGTGGCACTGATCCACATAAAGCAAAGTCCTTTATTTTAGTCTTCACAACACCCCCAAGTTAATTGCCATTAATTATCACCTTCATTTTATAGATTAGCAAACTGAGGCTCAAAAAGGTAATGTAATTGGCCAAGGTCACACAGCTGGTAAGCGGGAGAGTTAGGATTTGAATCCGAGACTATTATAATAAAAAGTGCAATTCTTAATTACAATGTCCTAGCACATGTTAGTATTTCCCCACTCTCAGCAGGGTTGGCTATGGTAGCTGATAATTTCATTTCAGACATGGTTCCCAGGAAAATAACATCATTAGTAATCTCTCAAAATAAAAGGAGAGGACATACAGACCTCCCTGTGATCCAGGACTGAAGTCATTTAGGTTCGCCCATGTTTCAGCCTGAGTTCTAATTTGGGCAAAAATGGGCTTGGATGGAGTGATCTGAAACGGGTCAGCAGGGCTTCTCACATACTATTCTCCCACAGGTAACCCTACTTTTGAGAAAGTGGTCTAAGAGCTGTGCATCATCAGACAAAGAATCTTTTAGTTCTCAGTTTATTCACGTATATTATTATACTTCACTTGTTTTCATAGGGATACAATGGTAACGTTGGAAACCCAACTTATTTATTTTGATGTTCAGAAACATTTCTGAAAAAAGCAAACGTCTGGGGAACACGAGGCAGCTTCGACCTTCCAATTTATGCCACAAAACGCTAGATGTTCAGGGTAGGGGGTGGGGGGTGGACTGGAAGAAAGCAGAAGTTGCTGCTGGGTACCCAGTGATTAAGGAAGAAGATGTTCTTTCCCATCTTTTGGTTTGTGGTTTGTCTGCTAGCTGCTAGCCAGGGTAGGGGAACTTCTTTTCTTTTCTCCCTCCAGGCAAAACACTCACTGAAATAGTCCCTCTCTGCTTTTCTTTTATGGTGGCAATAGTCATGTTAGACACCATGCAGCTAGTGCTCAGAGTTTCCGGCTCTCAGCTACATTGGCACATAGCGAGAACAGGAGGAAGGAAAAACAAACCAGCATGTACACTCTGGCAAGATGCCCGAGTGTGCCAGGGAAGGACTGGCTTTGAACTTCTCGGATTAAGAAAGAGAAAACCCTTTTATTCCTATTTTATCTATCGGGGCAAAGCTGGCCATACAACACAGGCTACTCTGAACCTGGGAGCGGTTTGGTTTAGTGAGAAAAGGGTGAAACGTTATCACTCTAAAGATGACTAGGGAACCATGTGTCATTTTAGTTTCTGGCAGTTGTCCATTTCCTTAGACGTACCTCTCTGTCACCTAGGTATTCATGTGCCAACTCTGAGAACTTGTTCAGGGTCATCTAGTAAGTAAAGGGCAATTATGTCTCCTGACCTTTGCAAACCTTTTCATTACTGGCCTGGCTGGCATAGTAGAAATCTGCCTAGCTGCTCTGGGGAGTCAGACCACTCTGAGAAATAACCCAGGACAAAGTGGACAGAAACCTGAGGGGAGTCAGACCTCTCTGAGAAATAACCCAGGACAAAGTGGACAGAAACCTGAAAGCCATGAAGACTCAGCACTGGGATGACCCACACTTCAGCAATAAGAGATGGACCCCCAAGCAGCCTTCGTCTCCCATCTGGAACTCAGTTATCAAAAGGGGCAGGCAGAGTGAAGCAAAGCAATCCATCACTCATTTTTTCCCATGCCCCAAGGCAGCCCTTCTCTGGAAGTCTGGAACCAACAGAGCTGTCCTCCCCATGGACTCCATTTATTGTGACTGCTGCCATGTGTGTTAAGAATCAAATCCATTTCCCCGCCACCTCCTGAAAGTCTGCAATGTTCTTCAAAAAACAGCAGGCAAAGAATTTTGAGTCAGCTCACCCATGAAATATCCAGGTGCTACATTCGTCAGCCTTGGTGATGTAATTCTCAGGCAGCAGTCCGGAACAGCCGGTGGTTAAGGACGTGCCATAGATCCAGCCCTCGCTGGTGCTGGTCTGCTCCATGGGAGACATGAAGATGAAGTCCCCAGGGACCAGCTCTAGCTCATCGTCATTCTGTGGGGTGTAGGGGTAGATCACCTGTAATGTCTGAAAAAGAGAGGGATGAAGGAGGCTCACGCCTGACCCATTTTCCTAAGTGCCTCCAGGGCAGACCTGTGTGTTCTGTTTGAATAGTGCCCACATCCAGATGTTGACATTTATAGGCGACCCTGGGGGCTGCAGGCTTTGAGTACATCTGGATTCAGATGAGAAAGCATTTCTTCTTTTTTCAGAGTATTGTGGGTGTGTGTCTGGTGCTACTGGAAGGTTCCAGACTTCCCTTCAGGCATGTCTTTGCTTCCCTTCAGGATTCAGAGATGGTTTTTAGAAATTCATCTGAAAGCCCATAGGTTCTCCAGTAAACTGCTATACAAATGCGGTTGGACCTAGTTTCCCCTGCTCCATCGCTGGGGTAGGCCTCATAACAGATACCTGTAACCCAGTTCATGGAAAGTTAGTCTTCTACAGATGGGCCACATGGAGATTCTCCTGTAGGAAGGCTTTGAGAATGAAGTATTTCCCTTTCTATGTAACTCAGCTGCTTCAACAAGACATGGTTCCCTGCCTTCGTGGGACTTTCTTTTTTTTTTTTTAAATCTGAAACGATTTTATTTTAATTATTATTATTATTATTATTATTATTATTATTATTATTTTAATTGGGGAATTGGGGGATGGGAACAGCGCTTGGGAATTAAAAGAAGGGGAACAGACGAATTGCTTTCCTTTTGTTCTTCAGTCTAGTTGTGGAGGACATTGCTTCACTGGCCCAAGTTAGCACCATCATTCGCTCTTCCTGGGCAAGGCAGATCAGTCGCCGGCTTCTGGACGGCCGCTCACTGCGGCTGCTGGCTGCTCACGCTGGCTGCTGGCTACACACGGTAGCCCATGGTAGCCCATGGCAACCCACTGCAGCAGGGGCTGCAGTCTACGCCGTCGCTGGCAACTCACGGCAGCCCAGCTCCAAGTTGAGCTGTTGTTCAGCATCTTAGCTGTAGAGGGCAGTGTCACTGGCCCTCATATGTGGGATCCGAACCGGGGCCCCCTGGCGTCCCAAGCCAGCTCTTAACCAATGCGCCACTCGGCCGGCCCTCGTGGGGCTTTCTTTAAACCTACATTTTTAACAAAGAACTTGAAAGAAAAATATCTGTCATAGCCATCAGTGTGTATGTCTGTGCAACCAGCTTTCATCCGCAAACAGATGGAGACCGTGTGTGTTCCTTTTTTGGGCTCAGTAAACTTCCCCAGGGCCAAACACAGGCCATGCTGCTTGGCTGATTTATTCCATTTTTTTTGCCTCCTTTCCTGGTACATATAAACAGCATAAGCATAGAGATGACGATACTTTGGGACACATCCATTTTGCTATTTTTTATAAATTTATAACAGGAGACCTCAATAGTAAGGAAAATATTTCCTATCCCATTTGTTTCGCAAGGGACACTGAGATGGAGATGCTTTAACAGTTTTTCTTATGATCCCAAAATCACTAGTAGTAGGCTGTATCTTCTAGTTCCCACTTTTAGGTTTTTAACTTTGGCCTCAGTTTTCTCATCTGTAAAATAATACGTGGACTATAAAAGTTAAATGAGACAATCTAAGAAAACTAACTCCTTAGGACAGAGCCTTGTACACAGAAGGGGCATAATTGTTTCTATTGAACCATCATGATGCCTCATTTCCTAGGCGATCTTTTCTTTTAGCTGACTCTGACCCCTGGTCCGTGTGCGGGGTAGACTTGTGAGTTAATCAGCTCACTGGTGTCAAGGTGATACATCAGAACATGTTATAAAGAAAGAATTTCTTGGGGAGGCCGGGTGGCTCAGTTGGTTACAGTGCATGCTCTGAACAACAAGGTTGCCAGTTTGATTCCCACGTGAGATGTGGGCTGTGCCCTCCGCAACTAGATTGAAAATGGCGAATGGACTTGGAGCTGAGCTGTGCCCTCCACAACTAGATTGAAGAACAATGACTTGACTTGGAGCTGATGGGTCCTGGAAAGAACACACTGCTACTCCCCGAACACACACAAAAAAATAAAAAATTAAAAAAAAATAAAAGAGAAAGAATTTCTTCTGGAACTCTAATGAATGGAGCCAGTAAACATGCAATTTTCCTCAGGGAATGAAAGTTATAGGGCATAGAACTCGATGGCACCACTAGATTTCTGATTTTCCTTTTATTTAGAGCACCTGTTTCTTTCCCTACTCCAGCATCTTTCAGCTGTAGATCTTTGCCCCTCCATCACCTCTCCACTCCTTTCCCTTTCCCTGCCACATACATATACAAACCACTTTTTCAAACAAACCAGGAAGGGTCCCTGCTGGGTTGTTAAAATAGTTCTAAGAAAAACAAAAAATTCACAAGAATTCTCTAAGCTAGGTATGTGGTGATCCACCGAAGAACATTCCTTTTCCTAGAACAGGGTGGAGAGAGGCTGTGAGTCATGGGGAACAAGTCGAAACTCGTGTTCCTTAGATATTCAAGCATATAATAGCCTTGGCTAATAATGCCTTTGGCCCAGGGCTGCCTTTCCTCTGAGAAACTCAAAATGACTTCAGAGAACTCATTCCTCCTGTCACTTCGGGGGGAGAGTCCTCTATCTCTAGGTAGTTCCAGGGAAATCGAGGCACAGTAAAGGAGCATAGGAGACAGTGTGTGCTAGGCAGAGAGTAGTTGGGCAATAAGTAGGTTTGACTTACTGAATAAATAAAAAAAGAATGAAGGTATTGTAGCAAATCTAAAATTGTATCTGGTACCCATGTTCCCATACTCCTTTCCCACTCACCAAAAGCACATGCAAAAGTCAGCCTGAGTTTGAACAGATATCAGGACACATGCATAGATTTGTGCAATATTATACTTCCTCTTTTGTTTAATGCTTAGCATCTACTTGTAAGAACTCTGGAGTCTATTTCAAGTATACTTTTCCTCCCTTCCTACACAGGGACAAAATCCAAAGTTTGCTGACTGGCATCTTGGGAAGGACAGTCGCAGCCCTGTGTGATTACAGGAACTGAACTTGATAATCTTTGAAACCCTTTTAGTAACAATAGCAGCTGCACCATTTTTGTTGTTGTACCCACCTTGTGCTGGGTATTATGCTAGGGCTGTTCCATATATCCTTTTATTTAGTCCACACAACAGTCCAGCAAAATATTATCACCATTTTACCACCGAGAAAACGAAGGACTGGAGAGTCACAGAAGTTATAAAAATGAATCAACAATTGCTAAAGTAATGGAGACAGGATTTGAAGCCATGTGTGCTAGTCTCCAGAATTTATGCTTTTTATTTAACTCTGTCCTTCCTCTAGATTTTTATTGCCTGGCATATAAAACTGGCTTGGCCCAACGTAATTACTAACATGCAAGAGACCACATGAAGTACAAACTGGCATTTCCAAGTCCCAATCAAGTGAGAATCTAAACAGCAGAGGGATAAGGACCTAGGAGTTTTCCTATGCATCACTTGCTGAGTGTCCTTGCCTAAACCGTTTTCCTTCTCTGGACATCTGTTACCTCACTGGAACAATCAATCAAATTGGCCTCCTGGAGACAGAAGAAGGAAGGCCAAAAGAGGTTTACATAGGCAGGGGGGCTCAGGTAAAGCCAAATGACCTCAGAGGGAGTGCTTCAGCAGAAGGAATAGTAATAAACGAGCTTTTACAAATAAGAGATAGAAGAGGCCAAATTATTTTTAGAAAATATTTCATGTGGGCGCTTGCCGCTCTTTCCCTCAGTGCCAATCGAGCACAATGTGGGTCAGGCAGGAAAGCAATTACCCTGTGAGTTAACTGGAGGGCAATGTTGATTAGAAGATATTCCTTGTAAAATTCCATTGCTATCTGCCTTCTCTTAGAAAGGTGACTTCTCGGAGTCCGTCTGCTCGTAACTCTTTTTGACTTTTTCCTTTGCGCTCGGAAGGAGTCCAACCAACCACACCTCTCTCGTTATATTCAGGGCTCACCCTAAGCAATTCTAGATGTCAGAATTCTTAGGTAAGATCAAGCCCAGTCTCCTTGTTGTGTCTTCACAGAAAATTTGCATCAAATGACTCAGAAAGAGGACATGACATTCCCATCAGCAGAGTCAGACAAAGCTGCATGTCCCTGACACTCACAGGCCCCACGCCCAGGCCTGGACCTTGGGTTCATGGGTTGGTTCCTCCCCACACTTCCAAATCAATGAGATTGCCTGGTCTAGACCCTGAGGTTCTAACTGTTTTTCATATTTAAAAATATATCTAAAAGAGATGTTAAAAGGCTATGTAAACTAAAAAATGTCAGGTTTTTTGCTGTTGAAAAACTGGGAAACAAATATAAGTATTGTTTAATAAACATAGTTAAATTGGATTTCAAATTTTTCATCAAACTATGTGATCTTTTTCTTTGGATGGATTTCTTCTCATTTTTCTTGGTCAGAACCCCTGGCTTCTGGCTTCAGCTCTGGTCCTAAATTGCTATTTAGCTTTAGACCAGCCACTTAATCTTTGTGTCTCAGCCTCTCCTTCAGGAAAACAGGACAAGGTTATTCTTCAGAGACGGCACGTGCTTCTCATGGAGTGTAGGATGGCTTCTCTCAAAACAAGGATGCTAGGATCACACCAATCTTTCCAACTGCTTTGAGATTCAGATTTCCCACTCACGCCTCCCATGTGATGCACACAAATTCTCACAATGTTCGGTCAGTGCTTTCATTTCATGTGTGTCTATTCTCTCTCCCCTGCTGGACTCAAAGCTCTTTGAAGATACAGCCACATTTTAAAATTGAGTACGTTCCATGGTACCTTTCATGTCACAGATAGTCAGCAAATATCTGTGGATGTGTGTGTTCACAGCTTTTTTTTTGTATTTATGTGTTCTTCTCTTAACCTAAGATCAGGATGGTGTGTTTTATATATTAACACCATATAATATTTAAACTGATATAATATTTAAAAATTTTCCAACATACTTTTCTATCTATTCTCCCATTTCATTTCTATATCATTCCAGTAAAGTTTGGCAGGGCAGACAGAACAATGGGGATATTACACAGATGAACTACTTGGAACCCACTGAAGAGAGATGCAAGCTCAAAACTTCCTAGTGAGTCGGGCAGCACCTGGACAAAATTCTGGGCCAACTGCCTCCTGGTCTGGTGCTTGCTTCATTGCCTTCCTTTGGTTCCCATCTCCCTGCAGCAGTGATCAGCAAGTGTTTTTGGTTCTGATGGCACCCTCGCACTGCTGGTAGCATCAGGAGCTATTGTGAGACATTACCTCATGGTTGGCAAATCGGATATCCCGGGAGAATATGGTAGCCACCCAGTCACACCCCAGTTTGACATCAATATTCTGAGCTAGTTTCTCTAGGGTGGGCAGGTGGCTGGCTTGGAAGTGGTAAGCCAGGGTCACATGCAGCTGCTTCTTATGAGGTTCCACATGTACTTCTGGAAAAAGGAAGGAAACAGTTATCAGAATGTGGTAATCACAGCAATGGTGGAGACTTCAAGAAGAACATAGAATTCTGCTTTCCAAATAACAAAGGAGGGAGACCCATGGTCAGACAAAAGCTGTTTCTTTCCTTCACAGCAGCAGAATAAAGGTGGAGGGGTGGGTAACAAATCCTGAATCAACCCACAATTCGAGAGCTCAAGAGCCACACATCTGCAGGAGCGATGGATTAGCTGAGAGGTTATCGTTTTGGCTGGCTCCTCCTCACAACTCCAGTTATCACCAGCCCCACCATTTACATGAGGAAACTGCGGACTAAAGGGATAAACTAATTTATGTAGAAATAAAGAGCAAATTTTGTGATCGTGTGACTCCCCAAACTATATTGCCTTTGTTTTGAAATCAAGGCTCTTAGCCTCTGGATAGTTCTGATGGAGGAATGAAGGGGAAAAAATATTTTCAAAGTTTAAAACAGGGTTTCTCAACAGCATTCGGGTCAAATAATTCTCTGTTGTGGGGGCTGTTCTGTGCATTGTAGGGTCTTTAGCTGCATCCCTGGCCCCTTACCCACTAGATGCCAGCAGCACCCCCAACATGTGACAACCAAAAATGACTCCAGACATTGCCAAATGTCCCCCGGGGGGCAAAAAGGCCCCGGTTGAGAACCACTGAATTGAAATATACAGACTGTTATTCTAAGATACCCTAAAAAACAAATCAAAACCAACCAACCTACCTTCTCAAGGGAACGGCTTTTATTTCTCTTTTGTATGTCTTTAAATGGGGGCCATTCGTCTACTATATAAGGTAGATGCTGAAAAAGATGCAACTAGAGGGAATTTGGGGAATTTGAGTAATTAAGGGGCTTGTTTAAATCATATAGAGATAGAAGTAGAAGTTGGATCTTTTGGTTTTGAGTACTTTTTCTGTTATACTGCATTGCACTTCTTTGGTGTAAGCCCCACGAAGCAAGAGCTTTGTGTCTTGTTCATGCTGTATCCTCAGTGCCTGGCACATGACTGGTTTTCTGTATTTGTAAAATGAATGAATACACGTGAATGAATCTCCTTAAAGAACCTAGGATGGAGGATGACACTAAATCTTCTCGCTGGAGGAACCTGGGTATGCCCCAAACTCTAAAATACCAAGGCACACGCTCTAGGGCCAAGTCATGATAGCCTGCTGTTAAGATTGCAAGGAGCCAGGCCATTTACACAGGGCAGGACTACCCAGTTCTCCAAATCATCACCAGGGGGCCTCACAAGGGCAGAGAAACTAGCCAGACAGGTTCTTAGAGAGTGGCAGCAGATTCTTGGACAGGAACTGGCTCTCCCCCTCCTATGAGAAAAGCAAGCAAGGGCCTGACTGCCTCTCACTCAATATGCACCTTAAGAATCAGCTGCAGTCCTGGCTGAGACCCACTTGACTCATTTGTGAAGGGTTTGGGTTTTGTGGCTACATTAGTTTTGGTGCTTGTGGGAGTTTTAGTGGTTTTGACAATAGCTGCTGTGGAATGAAAAAGAGCCATTTCCCTGAGGTAGAGGGATGGGAACAGGAAATAATTTATCTCTCTAGTATGCCATTTCTCTGAAATATTAAGCTCTTGTGAAATGACAGGCTCCACCGAAGTCAGAAGGCAGACCCTAGTCCCCAGGGAATGAGGGGTGTCCGGGGAGGGGATATCTAAGGAGGCCCCACCCCCAAAGTAGAGGAGACGTCTCAAGGGCCCAGAGTTCCTCTGAGAGTGGAGGCCTCACTGTGACCCTGCTCAGTGAGGCTGGGTTCTCACCGTACTTTTCCTAGAATTCTTAGCCTTCTTTGGAGCTTTTTCTGGTAAAGAAGAATGCACAGCAAAAGGTCCCAAATTGGGGATGAAAAGAGCAGCAAGGAATAAAGGCAGGTGAGATACAGGTCAAGAGGCCAAGAGGCAAAACACATGGCTTTACTCAGGTCTTTGCTTCCTCTCTGGTCCTCCACGCAATGCGGGGTATGCAAGCTCTGGTCTCCTCCAGTTTTGCATTCATCACTTGGATTGAGTTTTACAGCTCATACCCTCCTCTCTGGTAAGGGGCGCCTCCACGCTCGCCTCTGCACACAGTCCGCTCCATCTGACCTGTGCTCATGCAGCCTGCCCCCCTGCAGGGCCCTTCCTCCATGTGAAGGATCAACAGGGTCCCAGTGTGAACTTCCTTTTTTTCTGTGAAGGTGGAATCACTCCATCCCATGATAGCCTATCTCTTCTCAGAGCTCTGTTAGCACACAGTGCCTGAACTGGGTTTCCCAACTGTGCCTCTGGCCAGGAGAAACCACTTCTTACTCTCTGTTGCATTCCTCATGGCAGGTACCCAATAAATACTTGCTGGTTGTGATTTCAATCTTAAGGGAGCCAATAGGGGTGCCCCTCATCCCAATGTGTGTCCATCCCACTGCATGTAAGGCTCTCGCTGAGCTACGTGAGCTTGTGTGCATCTATAGTGAGACAGGAGAAGCTTTACTGATGTCTCCCTCTTTTCCTCTCCTCATGCCTCTCGCCTCTTAAATCAATACACATCCTGAGCACCCCTCTAAGCTATTCCTTTGACGGGACATCTCAGTTGCTTGAATTAAGAGCTGCCAGAAAAAGAACAAGAGACACTTTGAAGGGGTGAAATTTTGGGATGACTTTTGAGGTTTAGGGGCCTGTCTAATGGGTTTCAAAAGTTGAAGGGCGTTGACTCAGTGGATTTTATTTTTATTTGATACTAAGTGGTTCTACTCTCCTCTCTGTGCTATGCTACCTCCAGAGAAAAGCCCTGGGTCATCATGGAGTGAACAGTGAGACCCAGATAAACGCCTACCTGGGAGGGAGTTTGGGAGGAAGGAAGAACATTCCTTAATTCTGAAGTGAGAGGGAAATGGTGGTGCTACAAAGAAGTACATTTATAGTTCAATGGGGAACAGTCATTTGTGTAGCTTCAACTTGGGTGTCACGGAGTAGGCACTAGACATTTTCTCAGGAAAGTTAACAGAACAGTAATTTAATATTTTTTGAAAGGGAGCAAAGAGGTGTGGGATGCTACAGGAAATGGCTATGTTCTTTGTCATGTGCTGCCCATTCCTAGAGGACCCTCCACCTTCTGACTCCATCCCGCTCCTCCACAATAATTTCCTATTCCCTTTCATCCCAACTTTTGGATTAAGAGGACTCAGGGCTACCTGCCTGGCAGCTGTTTGACTCACCGGTTTTAGATGCAGCCTCCGCAGCAAAGTCAGCGGCAAACTTCTTGAGGACCTCTGCACTGTCTTCCTTCACGAAGAGGCCGATGAAGTTGGAGGAGGTATAGAGCTCCAGGGGCAGGGGCGCTGAGAACTTACATTTCCAACGACTGACAGTGGTCTGCAGGGCTTCCCCCAGGGCATCCACCTTGCTGTCCTCACACTGGAAGGGGAAAGCAAGAGGCTTAACTCAGAGATGAGGGGAGATAGATGTCTGCTGCTACTTAACATTTGGCATCCTCTGCCCAGAGCTGGAGGCTGATGATGCAATTACTAAACCATCACTTCGGTCTGTGAGGAGGGAGACAAACTGAAGCCTCCCAATGACCTGGAAACGGATTATCCAACTGGGGCAATGGACGACGTCTTGTCCCTCTCTGATTGATGTGCCCCTCTGAACCCAGCCAGAATGCAGAAGGTCTGGTCCAGCAGAAAGAATGAAGGGAGGGATGTGCCAGGAGAGAATACAATACTCGAGGATGAAATCTTGTGTGTTTTCTGCTGTTTGCATCATCTGTGCCTTTTCTATTCCTCTTAAATGGTCAAAAGTTGACTCTATAGGGTGGCCGGGTGGCTCAATTGATTTGAGCACGTGCTCTTAATAACAAGGTTGCTGGTTCAACTCTCGCATGGGATGGTGGGCTGT